AAATAAAAAGTAATAAAATAAGAAATATTTAAATTTTACCCATTCAAAATAGGAGTTCCACCAATGAGTTTGTTAATTGATGTAACTTCTTCAGTTGGTCCAGCAATAAGTGAAGTTCCAGTATCTGCAATAGCCTGACAACCACTTGAACAGAAGCTTTTGTCATTGACTTTGACACCATCCATTCCGAATTGCCAATAAGCTTTTCTGCTCACAGGCAAATAAGTGAAGTCTCCGGTATAGTGGTCAGGATCAGATCCTTGATTTTCAAGATGAAAACAAATTTACATAAAATTATTCATTATAAAAGCTTTCAATATTTACCTCCGAAGATGATTTCCCCACCAACAGCAGCAGAAGGATCGCGATTCAAGTAAAATGAGAAGACAGGTTGCTGGATAAGATTCTGATTGAACATGTTGTAGAAAGGAGGTTCAACGCCATCAACAGAAATTGATTTGTATCCAAGTCCCAAGATTCCATCAAACTTAATAACAATATCAAAACACAAATTAATAAAATTATTATAATCAAGAAGAAAAAGTTTTTACCTTAGCAGCAACAAAGACCAAACCAGGTTCACTGATAGCTTCAGCAAATGTTTGCTTTTGGATGTTTAATCCAGCAATCTGTTTAAATATTAATAATATGATTTGATTATTCTTAATCTGATATTTGATTATAAACATAAATTAATGTTTATCTCTAAATTACTAATTGATTTAGAAACAAAAACAAACAAAATAAAAAACAGTACACAAACTAAAACTGAATTGATATCGTGATCGTTCAAGTTCAAGCACAATTTGTGACACATCAAAACAACGATGTCTCATCATTTTTCTCTTGATTTGATAAGAATTGACCTCGACCTACGTAAGATTATTATATTTGCCACCGACACAAAAACAAAGATAATTGAACGAATTTTCCGCAATTACAACCAATTTCTTCAAATTACTTACGCTAACAACGTCTGTTGAGAGATATCCAGAAAGCGAACCACTTCCGTATTGAATGTGAAAAGCTGTTCCATTTTTCTCGTAGGTTGAGCTCTTACCAGCATTGTATTTGTTGTGAAGAAGACATGCGATGTTAGTCAAAGAACATTTCTTAGAAGGAACCCACAAGTTACTTGAACCTAAGTAAATTATTTTTCATAAAATAAAACGTCCATAATTCAATTAGGCAATTATGTTTTTACCTGTGTCAAAGACAACTTTGAAACTTTGAGGAGGGGTTCCAATTGTAATCACTCCAAAGTATTGGGCTATTTAAAAAGAAAATTCAAAAAGCCGAAATTATTTATGACTTCATTTAAAAGAAGTAAGTAAGAAAATTACCATCAAGATAATTGCTTAAGGGTTCAGGAGCAGGTCCGGCAATTGTAGGCAATTTTACTTCAGTGAGATCGGTTCCGACAGATAAAAAGTGTGATCTAACCGAATCAGTCTTATGAAGTCCAACACTTGATAAAAATATTATTATTGAAGAAAAAATAACAAAAATCAATAGCTTTTACTAAATTGTTTATCACTTATTTATACCGAATTAAATCTCCATTTGCAAGCAATATGGGTAGGAATAAAATAGCCAACAAGTTTCTCATCTTTAATTTTTCAAACCTTTGTTAATGAGACAAAGAACTGAAGTGAAGAATTTATTTTGAATTTGATTGTTTTTAAACTTCGGCGTTGACGGACTTTTACACCCCTTGAGTAGATCTTATGAGTGCGTTCAAAAATAGTGTTGGTGACTTGCAAATCTGATTTTATAAAATATTGTAAAATTGCTGTGAGAAAGACTATTTAAAAGCATTTTCATCCTTGTATAAGAAATTCATAGAATGTCAGAAATCCCAGATGAAGCTTCAGTAGAGAGAGTGCAGGTAAAAAGATATAAATGAATAAATAATTTAACATCACAAAAGTAAATTATTTCGAATATTTATGTTTGATGTATAGGAAGAGAATGTGGATTCAATGAAGTCGGTTAAAGATTCAGTAAGCTCCTTTGAGGATTTAGATGTTGATGACTTATACGCAAAATACAAGGTAAGAGCAATATTTTAACTTTTTAAATAATTTCAACATTAAAGTTCCCAACAGAAATTACAAAAACAACTCGAGTTCCTTGAAGTTCAAGAAGAATACATAAAAGACGAGCAACGTAATTTAAAGAAAGAGTATCTTCATGCTCAAGAGGAAGTTAAACGTATTCAGTCTGTTCCACTTGTCATTGGGCAATTCTTAGAAGCTGTTGACCAAAATACTGGAATCGTTGGATCGACCACTGGATCTAATTATTATGTCCGTATTCTCTCAACAATTGATCGTGAATTACTGAAGCCTTCGGCAAGCGTTGCATTACATAAACATAGTAATGCTCTTGTTGATGTGTTGCCACCAGAAGCCGACAGCTCGATTTCAATGTTACAACCTGATGAGAAACCTGACGTCCAGTACGCAGATATCGGAGGAATGGACATGCAGAAGCAAGAAATTCGCGAAGCTGTAGAGTTGCCTTTGACTCACTTTGAGCTCTATAAGCAAATTGGTATCGATCCACCTCGGGGTGTGTTGATGTATGGACCAGTAAGTTAATTTTCAATTCATTCAACGATCTAGAACTTTATTTAATTATTTTTATGATTATTCAGCCTGGCTGCGGTAAAACAATGTTAGCAAAAGCTGTTGCACATCATACAACTGCTTCATTCATTCGCGTTGTTGGATCTGAGTTTGTACAGAAATATCTTGGTGAAGGTCCTCGAATGGTTCGCGACGTTTTCCGTTTGGCAAAAGAAAATTCTCCAGCAATTATTTTCATTGATGAAATCGATGCAATTGCAACGAAACGTTTTGATGCTCAGACTGGTGCTGATCGTGAAGTTCAGCGTATTCTTCTTGAATTGTTGAATCAAATGGACGGATTTGATCAAACGACGAACGTCAAAGTTATTATGGCGACCAATCGTGCTGACACTTTGGATCCAGCTCTTTTACGTCCTGGTCGGTTAGATCGTAAGATTGAATTTCCACTTCCAGATCGACGTCAAAAACGTTTAGTATTCACAACAATTACATCAAAAATGAATTTATCAGAAGACGTTGATTTGGAAGATTACGTCGCAAGACCTGACAAAATTTCTGGTGCTGATATCAACGCCATTTGTCAGGAAGCTGGCATGCATGCTGTCAGAGAGAATCGCTACATAGTTTTGGCAAAAGATTTCGAAAAGGGCTACAAAAACAACATCAAGAAAGATGAACAAGAACATGAGTTCTACAAATAAATTTAATCGTCATTATAATAATTAATTATCAGTTTTCGAAATAAAATTTAATTCAAGATTTTCAAGTAAACTTTTTGAAATTGTGGGGTGTTAAAATTAATTCCAGTGAGGATGACACATTTGGATATTTAGACATTAAATGCTTGTGTGACTCAACGCTTTGTATTGATTTTCAACCATCATTTAGACGACTGATTCAGATTTATCAATGAACATTTTGATAAGATAACGTTTAAGAGAAAATCGTCACATGAAGCAAAGTTTAGTATTTTGTAAGAGTTTTCTTCGGTAAGGTGTCGCTTTCTGAATTAATTTACCTGTCGCTAATATTTAACAGCTAAATTATTAACTTATTAAATTAAAACTAATTTTTAGTGCGCTTTAAAGCTTGATAATGTGGGGCAATCGGCAGCAGCAGCAACACCAAGTTTACTACTATACAAGTAGATATTTTATTCATTTATAGCTGTGAATAAAAGGAAGAAGCTTTTACAATTGTTGTGTCGTCTTGTCGTCGTTACACGTTCAACTGTGCATGTAAATTACAGTCAGAACTCAATGTCAGAATTCTTATGACGTAATTTCAAACGATAAAGTAAACAGAATGTAATCAATGATGTAAAAAGAAAAGTTATTGCCGTGAATTTTGTACCGTTTCATCCATTTCATTCTAAACGCCTTAAATGATGTGACAAAATGTAAATATTTAATATTGTTTGACATTTTTCTCTTTCATCTTTTATGTAAACATCATCATAAAACAGCATTAAATGTTCATAACATTCAACGACAATGGCGCTTATGCTAAATTAGACAAAAAGAAAAAATGAAAAGCTTATCCAAATAACATTGACTGTAATCTTTTTATGTTGATTCAAGGAATTTCAAAAATTAGATAAGCTTTGAATTTTATGTTTGTTTTCTTTTATCATTTGAAAGAATTCGTCATCATTTTTCGATTTAACGTTATCGAAATATGATAAAATGATAAAGAAATTTAATTCAGCCACCCCCTGAAATGTGTTTAAAGGTTCAGTGTGCGAAAAGTGTTCAAAAATGGCTGAGTTACAAAATCTAAGTAGAATTAAATTAATTTTCTCTAGACATTCTTTGACAGTCATAATTTTAATTTAAATGTTTATTCAAAGACCCAAACCAACAGCCTCAACAGCCAAGCTTTCACGGACAATCTCAGGGATATCCACCACAACAACAACAAACTTATTACCCTCCACCCCAACAGCCTGCTTACTACCCTCCCCAGCAACAGCAGCAACCTTACAATCCAAACATGCATCAACAGCCACCATATAACGATCCAGAAGACCCTGATGCAACCGGCATTGTATTCGATGATCAATCGATTCGAAAAGGTTTCATAAGAAAAGTTTTTTCAATATTAACTGTGAGTATATTCACATTACATTTGTCTTGAGCTCGCATTGATAAAAAAAGAGATATTAGATAATATTTCCTTATCAGTCTAATTCGTTTTCCTTCTTTATTATCTAAATAGAAAAAATTACTTGAAATATTTCCTTGATTCTCGTTTCAGGTGCAACTTTTGATAACTTTGGGAATTGTTTGTTGGTTTCAATTTCATACGCCAACACGTGAATGGACACAAAATAATCCTTGGCTTTGGATTGCATCAGTTGTCGTGCTATTTGTTATTATGATTGTTCTTGCTTGTTGTGAAGGAGTGAGACGAAAATCACCTGGAAATTTCATTCTTCTCTTCATTTTTACGGTTGCACAAAGTTTGATGTTGGGATCATTGACAGTCTTCTTCGAGAGGTTTGAAGTTTTATTGGCAATTGGCATCACAGCTATCGTAACATTCTCACTGACAATATTCGCATTACAAACAAAATGGGATGTAAGGAAATTCACAAAACAATAACTTTTTATGTTCTCTGACTCACGATGTTCAATTTTCTTTCAAAGTTTACGACAATGGGAAGCGTCTTATTTGTTGGTGTCATCATTCTATTGATTTTAGGAATATTCTCAATCATATTCTCAAGCATGATTTTAACGCTAGTGTATGCATCTTTAGGCGCCTTAATCTTTTGTATTTATCTGGTTTACGATATTCAGATGATGATGGGTACTTAATTTTTTTTATGATCATCATTTTGTCTTTAAATAAATGAACAATCGCTTTTCTTTCAGGCGGCAAACACAAATATTCCATCTCACCAGAAGAATACATTTTTGCAGCATTAAACTTGTATCTCGATATCATCAACATCTTCATTTATGTTTTGATGTTAATCAGTGCTTCAAGGAGTTAAAGTTCTTTTTTCTTCAAATTTCTTATACAAAGATATCTTTTTATCAAATAAAAGTGAAATTTATTAATCAGCATGTTTTGAATTTTTAATTTGATACATGCTTATGTTGAATAAAATGGCAACATACTCACACATCAAAAAAGATTAGAATCGTTTATTTTATCTAATCTAAGCCGATTTATTTTATCAGTTTTTCCTTAATGTACGTATTTACGAAATTTATTTAACGTTTACAGCTTTTATTGCATGTAGTTCAGTTCAGTTTCAAGATACAATTGAAACACAAGAACAAAGAATTGTTTTTCAATAAATCTTTTTATTAATTCTTAGAAAATATATTTATAAAAAGATATTTACAAGAAATCATGCAAAATCAATATCAACATAGTGGAAGTTTTCAA